GAAATTCCAAATGCATATATAAGAAAAGACTAAAAATCAGGAACTAAACATCTATCTCAAGAAATCAGAAAAAAATCAACAAATTAAATGAAATAAAAGGTAAGAAAACAATAAAGAGCAGAAATTAGTGAAACAGAAAAGAAACACATAGACAGGATGAAAACCATTTAAAGCTCGTTCACTGAAAAGACACATAAAAGTGATTTATTCCTGATGAGTTGACCAAGGGAAAAAAGAGAAAGCACAAATAAACAATGTCAGGAATTTAACAAGAGAGGAGGAGAAAGAGAGAGAGAGAAAACATCAATACAGACTTTACTGACTTTGAAAAGATAACGTGATGAAACCATTCTGGCTCTTAATATACATTTTTCATAGTTGGTTAAACAGTGCCTTTAAGATCTGAGCATGTCACTGTATATAAATTATATCTCATTAAAGACAGACAATGAGAGGATAGTATAAACAACATTAAGACAACGTATTAGGAAATTTAGGTATAACTTAACATAGATTTATGAAATAGAAAAAATGTCAACAGACCCATAACTATAAAAGAAAGTGGGTCATAATTTAAACACAAAGGAATGTCTACGTGGCTTCACTGGTGAATTCTACCAAACATTTAAGAAAAAAAATGAAGCCAATCTTACACAGACCAATTACAGGTAAATGAAAAAGAATAAGACCCAACTCATTTTATTAAGCCAACATAGCTTTGCTATCAAAGCCTGACAATATTACAAGGCACTGCCATATAAATACATACATGCAAACTTCTTAAACAAACACCAGCTCTGAAACGTCACCTCTTCATAAAGCAACCAAAGAATCATCAAACATAGAATCAACTTTTTCAGAAGTTTGCAATTAATGAAAGGCTTGCAGCAATCCAAGGAGTCAACAAAAATGGCTGAATGTTGGTAAGAACAGTGAGCTTTGTGGTGTTTTAACTTACCCTATTCCTGTCAGTCTCAAAAAATAACAGCCTGCATTTCCATACTGGGGGCAAACAGAACAAGGCTGGAGGTCTTTCAAAGCTTCATTCCCAAAATAGACTCATCACGTGACTGGTGGCTCAACCTAACTTGAACTTGCTCAATGTGAAAGGCTTCTCCTTGGCAGCACTTGTTGGATGTATTACGCTTCCTAAGGCTGCCTGAGGCAGAAAAGAAGACTAACCGAAAATCGTAAAAGGAGAAGCAGAAGAACAAGATGTCCACAGGAGGCTTTGAAAAGAGAAGGCATATTCCGGGAATGCAGAAGGCAACGTATGTGCGTAAGGCTCTGAGTGTGCTCGAGGCTGTGTGCGTAACCAAGAAAGACCTAAGAAGGTTTAAGGTCTCTGCTCTGGCTGACCTTGAGGCTCCAGGCAGGGAAGAAGGCTAAGGTAGAGTTGGAAAGTGCCCGGCTGATTCTTGAAGGTGTGTCCCAGCATGCATCCAAAGGTCTTTAGCAAAGACTGGGAGTCTTAGTGGTTCTGAGCACTTAAAATAATTTCTGTCCAATTTTAGGTGACCATAAGCTAATCAGGCAGACAAAAAAATGCAGACTTCACAGAACTAGTTTGGAAATCACAAAAACAAACAAGCAACTAGTACAAGTAGCAACAACAAACCCTGGAGAGGGAGCAAAATCTAATTTCCAGAGTTGCTACACTAGATTATTTGAAATGTTCAGTTTCCAACAAAAATGAAGAGACACAGAAAAAAACAAAAACTAGAAACTATGACCCATATATGGGGGGGAAAAAGCAATCAATAGAAACTATACTTTTGGAGGCCCAGACATCGGACTTAAAGACAAAGATTTTAAATCAACTATTTTAAATATGTTTAAGCAGCCAAAGGAAACCACGTCTAACAAAACAAAAGGAAAGTAAGAGAATGATGTTCCAAAAATTAGAGACTATAAACAGAAATTATACAAAAGAACCAAACAGAAAATCTGGAGTTAAATACTATAATAACTGAAATGAAAATTCAGTTTGCCCACAGATTTGAGTAGGCAGAAAAAAAGAATCAGGTCAATTGAAGATAGGTCAATTGAGATTATCCAGTCTGAGGAGCAGAAAGAAGAAAGAATAAACAGTACCTCACAGTTCTGTGGGAACCATCAAAAATATCAACATACACATAATAGGAGTCCCACGTGTGGGGGGCAGGGGGAGGCAGGCACAGAAAGACTATCTGAAGAAATAAAGAAAATTTGCTGAGTCCGATGAAAAACATGAATCTACACATCCAAGAAACTCAATGAACTCCAAGTAGGATAAACTTTAAAAAGACCGACATATACAAATACTATAATCAAACTGTCAAAAGACAAAGAACTTTGAAACGAGCTGGAGAGATGGTGACTTGTCACAGACAAGGCAGTCTAAGATTAACAGGTGATTTCCCAGCAGAAACCATGCAGGCTAAAGGCTGTGGGACAATATATTCAAAGTGCTGAAAGAAAAAACTGTTAAGCAGTAAGTCTATATCCACCAAAACTATTCATCAAAAACTGACGGAGAAACTCACAGATACAGAGAACAAATCAGTGGTTACAAACCAATCAGGGGAGAGGTAAGGTGGGAGGGGAAAGACAGAGATATGGCATTAAGAGACACAAACTACCACATAAAAAACAGATAAGCCACAAAGATATACTGTACAGCACAGAGAAATAGAGCCATTATTCTGTAATAACTTTAAATGGAGTATATAATCTATAAAATATTGCCTCACTATGTTGTATACATGAAACCAATATAATATTGTAAATCAACTATATGCCAATAGGAAAAAAAAGAAAGAAAGAAATTCACACATTCCCCAACAGTGTGTAGCTCTGGAGCCACCCTACCAGAAATACTAAAGGGGTCCTTCTGGCTGACATGAAAGGACACTAGAAGTAACTCAGAGGAGAAATAAAAGCACCAGGAAAGGTACAGAGGCAAATATAAAAGACAACACCAATGTATTTCTTGTTTGGAGCTCCTTTTTTATTCTCCCATCTGATTTTAAAGACAGCAATGAAAAATGATAATTCTAAACATGTGTTGACGGGCACACAGTGTAAACTGCATGGCAGTAACAGCATGGGGGGGGGGGTGGAAATGGAGCTACCTAGAACAAAGTTTCTGTATACCACAGGAAATCAAGTTGTTATTTATTCAAACTAGACTGTCATAAATTAAAGTGTTCGTGATAAATCAGGACAACCATGAGAAAACAACTAAAAAATTCATAGTGGAAAAAATAGGAAGGGAATGAAAACATCTATATAACATAACTGAAGGCAGTAACTAGGAACTGATAAACACAAAAGACAAGATATAGAGAAGACAAATAGGAAATGGTGTAAATCCTATCTCACTAATAATTACATTAAATATAAGTGGATTAAACCCTCCAATTATAAGCCACATGGGATGCCAGCTCACATCTACCAATTTAACAAATTAAACAGTAAGTATTAGCCAAAACATGGAACAACAGGAACTCACGCTGCTGACGGGAGTTTAAATTAGAACTATTTTGGAAAACTGTTTGCAATTATGTAGTAAAGATAAAGATGCACCAATCTGATGACGCAGCAATCTAACTTGTAGTTGTACACACAACTGAAATACATACAGTACACACATGCCTCAATCAAGACATGTGCACGAACGGTCACAGCAGCATTACCCATGGAAGACAAAAATGGAAAATAACCCAAATGTACAGTGAACAAAACACCACTACACACAACAACGTGGATGAATCTCAGTAACATAATAACGTTGAGAAAGAGAGGTCAGACTCAGCAGAGTTCACCTTTTATAATCCCACTGAGACAGGCAAGACTACAGTGTTTAAGGATACAGTATGGTAATACAATACAGAAATGGGTGCTGGATACTTCTGTTACAGGAGAGGGTGGCTTCCAGGATGCTAGTAATGTTGTATTTCTTGAACTGGGTGGTGGCACATGGGCATCTGCTCTGTGGCAAATTCACCGACACATATGAATATGTATATGCTTAAATATTTTGTACACTCGCTTTTCTTTAAGGATGTTATATATCACAATAAAGGTTTAAAAATGTTTAAGACACATAAGCAAAACAAAATGTGTGAAACTATGTATCTAAAATACAAATTATAATCTCACCTTTAAAAAATGTTTAGAATTAATAAAGCAGTGATTCAGCTAAACTTCTTAACAAACACCACGGTTTCTGACACAGAAAAAAGGTTTATTGTGATACCATATTCTATGCTGTGAATCCTGAGCCAGTTAGTTCCTAATGAAGAGTGACAAACTGACCCTAGCAGGCAGAGAAACTAATTTGTCAGACTAGCTTGGGTACAAAATTAAAAGATACGGTGATTGTTTGGAGAGGCAGCATCCTCCTTCCACCGCCCTCCCCAAACCAACATCAGGCCTAAGACATTTTTCACTACTATGTCCTCCCTTAAGGACACATAAAAACCTCCCCCCAACACACACAATTCCTTTCCATTAAGAAACAAAACACAGTCCCAACAGAGGAGACTACTTCATTTTCTGACACAGCATCGTATGCCCATCACTGAAACTGTTCACCAAAAGAATAGCCACTTACCTGATCAAGATTGGAAAGGCTGTTAGGATCCTGGCTCAGACCTTGGTACTGTCCCCTGAGTCTGTCACCAGCAGCTATTTTCCTAAACTTCTTCAGATCCACGACATACAGTGCACTGGACAGAGAAGAGCCATCTGTTATAACCATGGATTATGGCAGAGCAAGTCCCCCTATTGCCCTGCTGATTCATGGATCGGATCACCAGGCAAACCTTCTGGCTTCTCTTTGAAAAGGCTGAGACCCGGCAGTGGGGCTCAGAGTCAGGACTGCTACTTTGAAGATGGCTAAGGAAGTTAGTACAAAACCCCTGTTCTGCTACCATCAGCTCACAACGACACTCTTCCTGATTTAACTGCCCTCCAAAGGAAATAATCTCTGGCAAAAGCTTTCTAGCAAATGTCAGCAGATCTGGTTTAATAAAAATGGACAGTAATTGATGATATTCTGATGATGTCTTAAATGTTACAAGGAAAAATACCCCAGTGTTACAGTTCTATTGGACCCAGAACATAAAGTATAATACTGAGATCACCACACCTCAACATTTATCCTGCCAGTCCACTAGCCTCCAAATCACACTGGGCCCAGAGGTGATGCAATGTTCACCAGAAAAGCAACGAATGCATACTGTTTACCCTGGGAATTCTACTTCTAGGAATTTATCCTACAGATATACTTGAAATGTACAGAAGTTTGTATTTAATTATTCACTGTAACATTGCATGCCACAGCCAAGACCATAAATAATATATATCCTGGAAAAAATATATTGATGTAAAAAGGAAAAAGGTCTCTCTCTCTCCCTGTTGATAGGTTTACTAGAGACGTTAAGTGAAAAAAGCAAGGAACAAAACTGTAAATAGGATAGTACATGTTTTATGTAAAACAGAAGTAATAGTTGTTTACATAAGAATTAAGAAACTCTGGAAGGACACACAGTAAACGAATAGAGGAGGTTATCTGGCTTGGGAGTGGGAACTGGGCAGAAGAGAGCCAGAATTGGGAAGGGTTTTTTCTCACTGTACATTTTTAATACTTTTTACTTTTGATGCACATTAATGTATTACCTATTCATGATTTTAAATATGCAAAATTAATTTTAAAGGAAAAACCTCAAACAACAGCATCCGAAGTCCTCCTTTTTCAGTACCTGATGTGATACTTCCGTCCCGCTAAATGACTGGCCCAGTAGCCCGACTTCCAGAACCTGTAACCGTCCATCTCTCTTCGGCTGTCACAGAAGGGAGTATAGCCGTAAGGAGCACCATCCAGATTGAAATCTCTCAACTCTTTCAAATCTGTTCGTACAATCTGAAGAACAGAGGATCACAGTCATTTGTTAAACAACCACGCGGACAGCAGTGTCCGTAAAATAACACGGTGTCTCACTGTGGCACCGTGGAGGGCAGCTCAGGGGTCAAGGGCGCCAGGGGTAGACCCAGTGTGAGCCCGGATTCCTCTGCTGAGTGGCTGACCACCCTCACTGACATGAAAGACGCTTAGCCTAATGCCTCGCACATGGGATTCTGAGTATTCAGAAAAAGGAGAAATAAAACGAATTGGCACCGCTTAGACTCAGTTTCCTCATGTGAAATGGAGACATCACAGGGTGGCTGGGAGGATACACGAATTACTGTAGGGACTGGAGGGGAAGGGGGCCCGGCACCCAGGATGCGCTCAGCAAGGATTCAGTGTGATTACAGAAGAACTGGGAAAGCACGCTCAGGTCGAGCCAGAGGGGACGTTAAGTGAGCCAAGTGAGGCGAGATTCCAAAGAGTGGGATGAAGTTTTGTCCCCGTGACTTTGGCACACGTTCGGTCACTTCCATGCAGATGATGAAGCTGGGCTTCCGCCAGCTCAGGGGGAGAGGGAAAGCTGCAGGGCTGAAGTGTATTTGCACTTTCTGAGTTTGCACACTCCAAAATTACAGTGTGTTCCTCTTCATTAAGTCAAATGTTGCCCACAGGGGGCCATCCGAAGAGTCCTGCATCATCAAGGCCAGGCTCCTGGCTTCCCGTCTCTTACCTATGTCAGTAACTCCTAGCTCAGGGGCAAATAACTGGAGATGATGGCAAGCACTGCTAAACCTCAGTTTTCCAGAAGGTAGGGGGGTGGGGCAGGTATAGCTCAGTGGAGGAGCGCCTGCTTAGCCTGCACGAGGTCCTGGGTTCAATCCCCAGTCCTGCCTTTTAAATAAATAAATAAAACTCAATTTTCCAACTTTTAGTTAGTATGTTAAATGAATTAAATTTACGATGCAAAACTGCGCACGTGATGTAATCACAACTATGTAAAAGAGGCATAGGAAAAAAGATGAAAATACTCTAAATAATGTAAAATTGAGCATGTATTTTAAATAAGGTAAAATACATTCTTCAAAACCATATAGTCTAAATAGTGTAAAGCAAGCATGTATTTTTCCCACAACTGTAAAAATAAAATCATTTAAAAAGGGAAAGGAAGTCTAATGCCTTTAATACCAACTTGCTGTTGAAACCTGGCCTTTAAGAGCTTACCTGATCGGCATCCACGAAGAGGAACTTGTCCACTACAAGCGGGAAGAGCACATCCAGGAAGAGGATCTTGTAACCCCAGATGATGCGCTGTTTTTCCGTCTGTTGATGAAGCCACCGGGGCCATTTGTACTGAACAAGCTCATACTGAAAATTGTATTTGTTTGCCATGTAAGGTATAAACTCCTATTTTTTGAGACAAGGAACAACAATCATTTACTTTTTTTTTAAACATTTACCTTAAGAAAAACAACTTCATAAGTAACTCAACCAACCAGAATTACAGCACCAGTGACATTTACCACGAGTAGCTGAACAAAGAAATGTCACCCTGACTCACTTGGACTATACAAAAGAACACATACAAACTTTTATCAAACCTTCATTTTTATGGCTTCTAATCACCACGTGAAATGAGAGAAATCTTCAAGTGAAGGCTTTTAGGTAACTAATTTACATCTGTGTGTGTGTTTAAGGGAAATGTACTTTTAAGTTCGTCTGTCTAAACTTGATTTCAGTAAAACATTTTTTTACCTTGATTTTAAGCCTTTTTTCCCGCCAGGTCTAACCCAGGGCAAACCCAAATACTTTGACCAAATTTGTTGCAGTAACTCTTTCAGGTTCTAAACAGAAGTAATTTCAGGGAACCAGAAGTCAATTACTTATCCAGGAGACGTATTACTGAATACATTAAAAGTTGCTCAGTAAATTCTATAGAACAACAACAAAAAAGATGCAAATAAATAAATTCAGATGACATATACTAACTGATATAAATAAAGCAGGAAACTTTGCAAGTGTGTTTTTGTTTTGCACAGATGAAGCATTACTTCCCTAGATCACTGGGAGCTGTTCACGATAGAACTAATCATCCTGCTCACTAGAAACCAGAACCGTGCTTTCCAATTAAATGCGGACATGCATGCTCAGAGGAAGAGAATGTGACTTCATCGAAACAAAAGATACAGACTCTCCCCTCTTATGATATCCAAGCTTCAAACAGGTCATAATTTTGCGTTCAGTTTTATAACAACTATTTCCCCCAAAACAGACCAGTCTGGAAGAATCATCAACACAGAATTACACAACTGAATTAGGGTAACTTTATACAAAAATTTTTTTAAATTACACAGATAACGTAGAAGTAGTAAAAAATATATTATACTGTACATATCTCCTTAATAAGAACGTTTTCCTTTTCAAAGCCTAAGGAACGAACCTTGAAGGTGGGGGACAAATAATTCTTCAAGAACCAGAATTTCACAGGAGTCTTGGTGTTCTTCAGCACTGATAGCATCATTATGCTGTCAAACAAAAGGAAGTAATAGTAACAATCTTCCAAATCTTCTTTTAATTTATATATAATATAAATAAACCTAATATATATGTGGGGGTAATTAGGTTTATTTATTTATTTATTCTAATGGAGAGACTGGGGATTGACCCCTGGACCTCGTGCATACTAAGCACATGCTCTACCACTGAGCTATACCCACCTCCCACCCCTAATCTTTTTAATCTCAACAAAATCAAGCACAGTCAATCATGAGACCACTCAGTGTTCTTTATGGCAGAGGTGACTCGTGGCTCAATCAGGTAAAGAGAGACTCTCAGTAGTGGAAAATGGGAAACTGCACTTATTCGCACTTATAGAGTATCACTGGCTGTGAAGAGTACTTTGTACCTATCGAAATATACCTAACTGATAAAGGCACATGTTTTAATTACGTTATACCTCTAACTAAACTGCTTCGTGAACTGATACGTTAATTATGGTACAAATGAATAACGGAGGTTGTGCTTAACTGACTCCTGCAGCTCGTGTAAGCACACTGCCTCCCACCGCCCACGCCCGCCGGGGAGGGGAGCCTGGGGAGGTAAGGGTGGCAGAGAGTGGTTACAATGGCAGGATTCCCTACTTTGAAAAAAATAAAAACAAATTTCGAGTCAAGGAATTTGATTAAATTCAGTTGTCACTAACACCTGACATGGCTATTCTTTAGGTTAGATATGATTCCCTGAAAATATGAGGGTTAAACAGGAGTGAAATGACACTTGACTATTCACTATACAGGTTTGTAGCAGAAAATTAAGAGGGAAAAGAACCCTGGCGTTAGGAAAGCTCCTCTCAGGCACAGCCGGGCCCTGCTGACCACTGTCCACAAGGCGCTCCTGGGGGCCTTCCCCTGGCGACCGCTGAGACAATCAGCCCGAGCCTGTGCCTCTCCTTGGCTCTTGCTGGGTGATGTCAGATGCGCCCCCATGCCCCTCAAGTCTCGGCCTGTCTGTAAGAACTAAGACCCCTGCTGGCTCTAAAATCCTATGACTCTTTAGAAGGCAGGCCCTGTTCCATCTCTATTCTCTACGTTAACCTCCTAATTTCAGGTTTAAGCGATGCTTGGTGGACAATTAACACCATTCTTCACCATGTGTGCACAGTGATATTAAAGGTTTATAGCCGTGTGATATCCACACAGATGCATTTACTCTACAGTGACACTCCACAAGACTGGCCAGATCAAAACCACCACAATTATGTACAGTAATCTATTCACCATCCAGAGTGCTTCAAATACACAGAAGTACAATGGGCAGAATCCCATAAAACACATCCTCCCTAAGTAAGAAGGCTGCGACAAATTCATGCATCTGTCCTGAAATAACCAGCATGACTAACCGAAGAAATCTTTCATAGAGATGACCAGATGCAACGGAGAAAATGTTAATTATGTCATCTTTGTCTTGTTTCACTTCCTCCGTCTTTTGTCCTCCTGTGAAGCCCCTGTAATAATAAAGGTAAAAACAAGGACCCGTGAAATGCTGGCAGGGACACACTGCCCTTTGAGGGGAGGGGTCAGGAGACGGTGCTTTCTCATTCCTGCTTCCTCCCCACGGTGCGGGCACTGAGCATCCACTCGTGCCCTGGGGGAGGGCGTGAGGACAGCAAAGCAGCCCATGGGACAGACAAGGAGAGGGATGCTGCTGGACACGGGCTAGTCCACAGAACAATGCAAAATGTACGACTGAAAGTGAACTGAGCAACTAGCACTCAACTCTCCAAGGAGAGAGAGGCAAATCCAACTGGTGTCAAGAAGGATGGCACAGAAGT